TAAATGTTAATGTTAGTAAGTCCTTCAAAATACATAATACAGTCAAAAGTCATTAATCCGGACTCGTCGGGACTTTGGTGATTCCGGATTATAGATCATCAGCTTAAATCTGGTAAGATGGCATGCAGAAATTATAAAATAAAATTAAAACCATAATTATGAAATAAAGAACAATATGATCTAAAGGGTATAAAATTTACAAAAAAAAAGCTTAATATTTATTTGTTTAACTTATTAAAACAGTTCTTTCAATGCAATTGTTTAAGTTGCTTTGATTTATTGTTAATCCATTCTCTTTTAATTCTATAAGCAGACATAATTTTCTTGTTCAGTTTACAAAGTTTCGCTGTTCAATCCATAATTGCTGGTGTGTAGAGATACCGACTATTTGTCAATCGAAATTTTTTCGTTTTCAATAACCTCTGTCACTTTCGCAATCTTTTTGGAATATAAAACAGGTATTTTGGCGACATTTTGGTAGGCGTAAAGGGTACTAGCTAGGACTTTAGCAGTGTACATGGATAAAGTCAAGAGGTGTTGCAATGCCATTTTGTGCATTTGAGATTTTTTTAAATGAAATAGTCGACGGTACCATGGATACCGTGTAGTGCAATTTTAAAAACGCACAAGAAGTTTGTGATTCTCCATTTCTCCCAATTTTGCACCTAATCTTCGTCATGATTAAGCACTTTTGTTCCATAAAAGTTCTAGCATAAGCGCAATTCAGCTAGCAGATTGTTGGAAAAAATGTTGAATAAAAAACGAAAAAAAATGCCTTTACTTCATGAAAAACAAAATGGCGTCCAAACAAAAAACTAGCAGGTTAAATGTAGCAGGGTTGGTTCGCCAAATTTTCAAAAAAAAATTGCCAAGTTTATAATCCAAGATTACCTCACTTCCTTCGTATCGAAAGCGAATTATAATGACGGGAATTGTTTAAATAATCAAAGCCGGAGTACATCGAGATGAAATACTATTTAGTAAGGAATTATAAAGAATAAATAAAAAATCTGCCCTGAAAGATAAAGGATTAGTGCTGACAGATCAACTTCCAATTCATTGTTGCCGTAAAGATAAAACAAAGTTTAGAATATAACAAGATATGCCGTATCCAATTTTTTGCAGCAATTCACTTTTTGTTTAATGGATCAGAACATACTTTTCATTTGTAGATCCTTCACATATTAGTAAATATATTCAGAATTCTTTGACATAATCAAAAGTTCAAGCTTACTTTTATAAAATTGCTCTAACAGTCTGCAAAAAATAATAAGCCGGATCCAATTCAAAGATTAAGAAACAACGCAATTTGCAACATTAACTGAATTAGAAAATTTTAGCTGAGCTTATACCTTCTGTTATACATTAAATGCGCATGCGTAAACATATTGTGTGCATGCGCACACGCTTATTCGAAGCCGTAAAGGTCTTACGTGCATGCGTAAACGCCTATGCGCAGGCGTCAATGCATGCGCAGAAAGTTTTTAGCTTTGAGGTCCGAATTAATGGCTTTTGACTGCATATTAATGCGTTATGTTTATCATCTATGCCATCTCTTCAGAAATAGCATATAAAGCATATTTTTCCCTTCACAGTTTTCAAGCAATAAAATCTGAAGAAGAATGGGGTTAAGAATATGCAAATAAATTTAGTATACATGAAACCCCTCTAAGTGGCAAAGCTCTATTTATGACTGGTCCTTTTTTTTCCATACAAAACAGTAACTATTTAAAATTGTCATTACTTGTGATGAAAGTAGTAACATAAACACTGATGTCTATTATTTAACTTGGATGTTGTACTAATTTTCCCTTTTTAGGCACATTATTCTAATAGATATCCCCAATTTTGGCTCTACTCTTATATGCACCCTAAGATCACCTAATGTGGTGATATGTGTTCTGCACTAGGCGCGATTACATGTTGTATGGCAACCCTTTTGGCGTTGAAAACTCTTTTGCTGGAAGTGGTTTAATTGCTCGTTGGTTCGTATCGTGCATGTTTGAAATGGCCTATGTTGCAATGAGAGACGTGGTTACAAGAGGGTCTCGAAGATTATTTTTAGTGGCTGTGCATGATAGAAGTAAAGAAATGCTGATACAGTGTATTAAAGAGTGGGTTGAGCCTTGTACATTTATTTTTTCAGATGGCTGGAAATCTTACAAGAATTTAGGAAAAGAAGGTTTTGAATATTTATTTGTGAACCACAGTATGAATTTTCTGGATAGTGTGTCTGGCTGTTATATAAATAGGATAGTGATTACGGGCGGCATGTAAAAGGCGGTATAAATTGTTATTTCTGCTGTTCGAAAAAGCATTAATTCATGGTAAGTGCATTTTATTCTTGTTCTTTTTTGGAATGGTACGTTCATTGGTTTTTTTAATATGAATTCGTCGGTTATGGTTTTTTTTTTAATTGTTGAATTATTTTAGTTTATTTCGTTGATTAGTGCAATTAGATTGTGCAATTCGTAGACGTTTTTTAAAGTTGAAACAGAATGCTGTCCATGGTATTCTTTTGAAATTTTTATGTTATGTATTTTATTAAAGGAGGTGGCGTTTTTCGTAGATTCGGTTGTTGCATATATTGTGCAATTTGTAGATTTTTTTTAAGCAGGATGCTGTGTACATGGTATTCTTGGAAATTTATTATTGTTATGTTAATTTTTATTAAAGTGAGGTATGCGTAGTTCATAGATTCTTTTGCTGCCTAGATTGTGCAATTCATAGATTTTGTTTTAAGTTAAAACATATCGCTGTGTACATGGATTCTTGTCAAATATTTTTGGTTAAAAACTTTACATTTTTGCTATCTAAATTTTTTGTTTCGGATTTTTAGCTTAAATTGCGTGTTCAAAACGTGGTTTTTGCATGTGTGAAAACCCCCTTTTTTTAGACATTTTAGGCTTAAAGTTCGAATGTGACAAAAATTGATATATATATGGCAGGTGGAGTTTTCTCGCTAAAAATGTTTTGGCAGAATTGTCACCGCATTTGGCCACCTGAGGGCCGCATATAATAGTTCCCAAGTTTTTTTTATTTTAACATCAAAATTATATCATAAATGTTTAAACTATTTAATTAAAAAAAATTCTGAACTTTTTTTTATATTATAGTTCATTAATCTACACATTGAGAATATAAAATAGGTCACAGCATTACAATACTAATGAAATAATATGAATTACTTTTATCCCATATGTTCAAAAATTAAGCGAGAATTTGATGATGAAAATACATATTTGTTTAAATTTTTTTGATATATGGACACATACAATTACACTTCCACATAACAAGGATACAAAACTGCTACTAAATGCTTCATTTAAAACTACCAACCCTGATACAAGGTAATAATAGGCAGTTTAAATTTTGCAGTTACAAATTTAAAAAAGAAAAAAAAAAAATTGGTGAAAGCAATTTTTGTACAAAACTTATTCATACACCATAGGTTGATCAAAATAATGTGCAGGATTGTGCTGCGGCATTTGAAAATTTGGAGGAGGTAACCATGATTGATTGCAATTAATAGGTGCTGGTGCAATAAAATTAGGCCTATACTGATCTTGCAACATAACTTGGTTGTTTGGACAATGCAAAGCAAGTTTTTCTCTTGTCTGCTGTTTTTTCATTTCTGCATTCTTTACCTTTCTATCCCCTTTACAAATGTTACATATATCTTTCTTCACACCTTTTGTCTTGAAATTAAATTTTCCATAGTATATTTTTTTGTACATTGAAAGGCTTACAGGCTGTTGAACTTCTTTACTATAGAGATCATACATTTTGGATAAACTTAACTCAGGTGGTAAGAATTCAGAGTCAAATTTTCCTTGTAGATGGCTGCATTTGTAACGTGGCATTTTTTTAATGTGCTCGACGACTTCGTCATACCTTTTGTCGCTAATTTTATTCTTTCCACCCTGAGAAAGTCCACGATGATCTATGAGGCTTTTTGAACGCATCTTCACCAATGCTGTATTTATACGTTTGGAAGTAATTCCAAGTGTCTTAACAAACATATCTCGACAAACTTGTTTAGATTTTAAAATATATGTTCTTGAAAACTGTCTTTTACTTTTTTTATCACTACCAGATCCTTCCACATTTTTGTTGTCATCTTCTTTGCCATCATTTTTTTCTTTTTCCTTCTTTTTCTTAGCACTCTTTTTAGTTGTTTGTTCATCAACCCTAGCAATTAAAAATATTGCCTGAGCTTCATATGACCCTAGTTCCCAAAATTTCTGGAATTCTTGCTCTCTTTCATTTGCAGATAATATTTCACGACACTTCATGGTACACTGACAATCATAATCCACAAATTCTTTGCTTTTAATTTCAACTCCCTTGTAATTTCTATATGGCTTATTCAAATATTTATTTCCTTTCTCTTTCCTCCATTGACTTTTGTTTGATTTAATTTTTCGACCCTTTTTAGCTGGCTGTTTAGACTCACTTTCATCAGTTGAAGCAGTCTGATTATTTACACACAGAGTAATAATGGTAGGTTCAGTAGAAGTATGTGTTTGAATGTTATTTGGCTGCATGATATTGTTCTGATGTATAATACTGTTCACCTGATTTATATTATTTGGCTGACTCATGTCAAGATATGTCAACACTTTCTGTGCATCCATATCTAATGCAATTTAAATCTACATGAAGGTATTCTAGAAAAAGAAACAATTAAAAATTCATTGAAGGATATTAATATGAGTTCAGGATATTTTAGATGTCGAATTAATCATTTACAACGGCATGTTTATCAATTTAAAATGTTATTCAGGCCATCATATATATACACCGCAAAACATACACTTATTTACCAGCCATTACTCACTTCCGATTCCAATTTCCTTATCGATACAGGTATACATTTCAATAAATTACTAAAATTTGGCCCTAATTTCTTCACGAAAATGTCCCAAAGAAAGGTCACATTCATCTAGAGGACAATTTTAACACTAGATCCCCAAAAATAATATTTATAATCTACTTACGCTTTGAAGTTTAATAAATCATTTACTTCACAGGAAGTGGCGAATTTCCTGCCACCGCGGTTACAAAAACATTCTCACAGGAAATATGTAGTTCAGAAAAAAACGATACTACATTTCGAAAAATCTGCATCATCAGTTAATTTTTTTTACGTTTATCAATAGTAGACTTTTAAAAGAAATGTTTATAGGATATGGCACTACTTTATAAGAGCCTTAACAAAGGAGACTTTTGCGTGAACTATGCACTTCCGGTTTAATATTGCCCACCAGTACTTTTCCAATTACACTTTCTTTATTTTATTTGAAAATTTTCTCTTTTGCTGTTAGCGAACACTTTTTTAAACCATTAATACTGTATTATATTTCAAGGCTTCTGATACGCATAATATTTATGTAATGATATTTACATGTCCCCCTACCCACGAAAGATCATCTTGAGATAAGTGCAACCGATATCATAACCTGTAGACTGTTTTTATGTATAATTTCAGCATATTCAGTTTCACCAAGGCCAACGGTTTCACTATGTAAGCATTTCAATATCTGCTTAGTGGTTGATAAAGAGGAGAACATTTATCATAATTTGGTTACAAAATTATGAAACAAATTATTTAATAGCAGGTTATATAGTCCTTTTTCGCTATATCTTATGTTAGCAGTGCTATATTATACGCCGTTAAAATCGCGGTGAATTAATGCTAATTAAACCCCTTTGGAAGAAAAAAAATCGGTGTTAAAACTGCATTATTTCTGCTTATTTATTGAAACTGTGCGCTGCAGCCAAGGTATTACTAAACTTTGACCGGGAGACGGAAAGAAGTGAATACGCGAAAGACTGCGGCAGACGTTTTACGGTAAAAATACTTTTTTGGTAAAAACAAACGTTTTACAATTTTTCCTTTGAAGCATATTTAGGACAGTATTAGCAGTTTCTAAGTACAGTTAGAAAGTATTCGTTAGCGAATTTTTGAAATGCAAATAATATAATGATTTTAGGGTGTGATTTTTCATTATCAGCTTTTGGTGTTCGGTAAAATATGTCACTCAAATTTAATAAATATGTCAGAAATAAATCGTTATGAAGTATATTTGCCATCAAACTAAAGAATTTTTAATCAGAGAAGAAAATTTTTGACGTTAGTTCTTTATGTTACTTGAGAATATTTTAAATATATGTGTATTCATATAAAGAATTTGCACACTTAAGTTTTTTTTTTTTCGGGGGTGATGGGTTTAAACTGTGCTTTATTTTTATGGGGAATTTTTAAAGTTTCGTCATCCTTTATATATACTATTGCATTAAATTTCAAGATATTATGCAAAATACGAAAAAATACTTAATATACGATTCCTTTGTGTGTATCCTCTGTATTTCTTCAACATTTTAATTTGAAGACTTCGTTATGTTAGTTTGTATTAATTTGATTATGATAGTTTACCCTTTAGTCAAATCGTTTCATGTTGTGCTTGAAGGATACATAACTGCTGTTCACAAGTAAGGTGAAAATCAAATATATAATCATGTAATTTTGAGAAATTGTTAAGCATGGTTAATGGGGGCTTTTCTTCATCAGAAGTGTGTTTTAAGATACTGTTTCAATGCAGATTGCTATCTATAAGACTTCTCAGTTTACTTAATCACTTTATAATATATATTATTTTTAAGAATGTAAATGCATTTTGTTATAAACCAAATAAATACAAATCAACACGGAGATTTAAAATGGTTGATTAATTCTGTGTCAACATAGCTATTGAATAATCAGTACAGTCAAAAGTCAGTAAAAGTTTACAATTGAGTGCTCCTTGTTTTTTGGCGATTCTTTTTTGAAGGATGCCAAGAAGGGACAATTTCAAGATGGCTGCTACACAAAACCAAAGTTAGAAGTCAAAGATAAAAAATTGTCGCTAATCGAAGGGGCACCCAATTCTACACTAGAGCCCAAAAGTCTTTAATCCGGACGTCCATAATTCGGAATGATCTAAATCTGGACCTCAAAGCTACAAACTTTTTGCACATGTGTCAATGCATGCACATAATACCTTTACGCATGCGTCTACGCATGTGCATAATATGTTTACGCATGCACGTTTAATGTATAATGGACAGTATAAGCTAAGCTAAAATTATCTAATTATCTTTTTCAGTTAATGTTGCACATTGCATTGTTCCTTAATCTTCTAATTGGATCTGGGTTTTTTTTTTTTTTTTTTTGAAGACGTTAAGCAGTTAGTTTAAAAAGTAAGCTAACTTCGTTATGCAAAAAAATTCCGATTCTGGAGCTACCAAAGATCTACAAAGCGAAAGCATGTTTCTATGTCCATCAAACAAAAAACAATTGCTACAAAATAGATAAAGCATATCCTTTGTTATCTAACCGTTCCGAAATCTGTTTTTAAATTTGCTCTGCGCGCGCCGGGGGGGGGGGACGTTCAGTGCGGCAATGAACTGGAAGTTGATCTTCAGCACAGTCCTTATATTTCAGGCAATGTTTTTTATTTATTCGGCTTATAATTCCTTACTAAATGTAGTATTCATCTCGATGTCCTCGTCTTGATATGATTAAATCAAATTCCTCGTCATTATAAATATCCGATAACAAATCAAATAGTTTTCTGGTTTGCAAATTTTTTCTAATTTCAACTATGTGTAGTGTATGCCTTTATACATGCACGCTTTGAAAGAATTTAATAAGTTAACAAATAAAAATTAAGCTTTTTTTTTTTTTTTTTTTTTTTTTTGTAAAATTTGATACCCTTTAGTTATTAATGCTCTTATTCATAAAATTACAGTTTCATATTTTTAATTGCATAATTTCTGCATGCCATCTTACCAAATTTAAATTTATGATCTATAATCCAGAAAAAAGCCTTATCTGGAATCGCCGAAGTCCAGATTAAAGACTTTGTACTGTACTTCATTTGACAGCCGCACTGATGGTTGAGTTTAAATGGCTGCTGAATACTAAAAGTTCAATTTGTGTTCAAATCCAGGCAAACGGATTGACTGCATGGTTTGGTTTTCCTCATGTGTAGCATAATTATATGAAAAAAATTTCGTTTAAGAAGTCATTCACAAAAACATCCCTCTTCTAATACATTATAGACCTTTTGTATTTTGCCATATTAATCATGTGAATCATTGGAGAAATTTACGTATTGATCAAAGTTTTGTTATAAAAAATACTTAAAAAAGCGAAGCAGATTTTATGGTTCTTATTAATATTTTGTATGATTTATTATTTAAAGATATTTTTAATCAGTTTTAAATAGTTTGGTTAATTTTTCTCACATGGCATCCTTTTATTTTTCTGTTGTAAAATCACAGCTTGAAAAATAGCTTATTAAGTGATGATATCACCATTAATTGAATGTATTTTATATCCAGTTTTCTGTTTAATTTGGGGAAGTAACATGTAAAGAGGATAAAATTTACTTTTATATTGTTTCTTTATTTGTAATATTGCTAATATAAATAATGAAATTTTAGTAATAAATTAATTTGGTCTTTCAGATTGCAGAATGTCTGCCTCAGCCATTTATTTACTTGATCTAAAGGGCAAGGTCCTTATCTCCAGAAATTACCGTGGAGATATAGACATGGCATCGGCTGACAAATTTATGCCCTTATTAATGGAAAAGGAAGAAGAAGGTTGTGTTACCCCAATCTTATCTCATAATGGTATAACATTTATGTACATTAAATACAATAATTTGTATCTTGTAGCTACTACAAAGAAAAATGCAAATGTAGCACTTGTATTTGTTTTCTTGCATAAAATAGTTCAAGTTTTTATTGAGTATTTTAAGGAATTGGAGGAAGAGAGCATAAGGGATAATTTTGTAATCATCTATGAGCTGCTTGATGAACTGATGGACTTTGGTTATCCTCAAACTACTGACAGCAAGATTTTGCAAGAATTTATCACCCAGGAGAGTCATAAAATGGAAGCTCAGCCAAGGCCTCCTATGGCAGTAACAAATGCTGTTTCGTGGAGGTCTGAAGGCATCAAATACCGAAAGAATGAAGTTTTTCTTGATGTTATAGAATCTGTTAACCTTTTAGCTAATGCAAATGGCAATGTTTTGCGAAGTGAAATTGTTGGTTGCATCAAGATGCGCGTTTATCTCTCAGGAATGCCAGAGTTACGTTTGGGACTAAATGATAAAGTTTTATTTGAAAGTACTGGCCGGGGAAAGAGCAAATCTGTGGAGCTAGAGGATGTGAAATTTCACCAGTGTGTTCGTTTGTCCAGGTTTGAGAATGACCGCACCATTTCGTTCATTCCTCCTGATGGAGAATTTGAACTTATGTCATATCGCTTAAATACACATGTGAAGCCTTTGATCTGGATTGAGTCTGTCATTGAGCGACATGCTCATAGCAGAGTTGAATACATGGTTAAAGCTAAAAGTCAGTTCAAACGTCGTTCCACAGCAAATAATGTAGAAATAATAATTCCTGTACCAACTGATGCAGATTCACCCAAATTCAAGACAACTGTGGGAAATGTTAAATATGCTCCAGAGCAAAGTGCCATTATTTGGAGTGTTAAATCATTTCCTGGTGGTAAAGAGTACTTAATGCGTGCTCATTTTGGCCTTCCTAGTGTGGAGAGTGAAGAAAGTGAAGGGAAGCCACCAATTCAAGTTAAATTTGAAATCCCTTACTTCACAACATCTGGAATCCAAGTACGGTATTTAAAAATCATTGAAAAAAGTGGATACCAAGCCCTTCCATGGGTTAGATATATTACACAAAATGGAGATTACCAATTAAGAACTCATTAGAAACTTCAATTTCTATTCCAGATAATGTTATATTATGTTGGTTATAATTAGGGGTACTTAAAGTTGTTTTGTTCCATTACTGTACTATCTCTGATTATTGTTATATTTTTATAAAATGAAATTTTATTTGATTATCAGAATTCCATAATAGATAAATCAGTAAACAAATTGTGCTTGTCATTAACTTTATTCAGAAGACCTAATGCAGTCTTTCCATTATAAGATCTAATACTGACAAATTTTTATGTAGTATAAAGCAGAACCTTATAAGAAGTCATATTTTTCAGATGTGTATGTAAAGCTTAAAAGTGAAATTCCTTATGTGTAATAAAGATTATTTATCAGACCTCTTAGGATTGCTCTATTTAATTTTCTCTGCCAGGAAGTACCTTTACCTTCCTGGTAGAGAGTTCAGAAAAAAAAAATAATATAAAGAAAATATTTCATCTTTTCTTAAAGAATGAAGTTATTAACCGAGAGTTAGTGTAATGTACAAAAAATATTGACCGATTTTTCTTTCAGGTATAATATTTTTTATCAAATGATAAGGTAATTATTTATTCTTAAATAGCTTATTTACCCTTTGCAGAGGAAAAAAAAAAGAGTTATGCTTAAAGGAACTATGTGGACCAGCCGTAGAATTTCGTAGTTTGAGGGGGGTAATACAATCAGCCTTTTATGTACCTATAAGGTATTTTATTCACGTTTTGGTACTTATCTATATTTTCTACACATTTTCTTATTTTATTTATAAAACACGTTAAAAATAATCTTAATTTAAATAAACATATTTTTTGAGTAGGTTTCGGAAAGGGAGGGTTTGGGGGTGGGTGGAGGGGGGGGAATGATTATTTAGCAATGATGTGGAAAAGAAAATTCGTGCGGGACAAAAAAAGTTTGCGAACCACTGATTACATTTTGCAAAACTGGTTTAAGGGCATTAGTGAATGGGTTACTATTCGTTTCGGTAGGGGCGTAAAAAAATCGCTTATAAAACTTCCGGTTATTGCCAATGCTGCCAAAAATTTAATGCGGCAGCCCTAGATAATCGTGGCAAAGAAAGGGAAAGTATAATAGTAAATAATTAAAAACTATCTAAGATTGATGTTTTATTTAGATGAAGGTAATTTCATATATACTTTTTTATTATTATAATTATTATAAAAAAGGCTAACATGATGAATGGATATTATTGAAAAAGCTAAAAAATGAAAAATATTTCAGATCTTATAAATTACTTAAAGTATAAAATTTATATAACATATATATAAAAAATTGCTAAACAGTGAATGGACGCCTGCATCGCTATTTCTACGACTTATCGCTAAAGCATAATTATCTCGTTGGTTGTTCAAACAAAATTTTCTATAAGAATGATTCTTTTCTTTGAAAAAATTCTCTTTAAGTGCAAATCGCTCACTCACTTATTTGTCTCCTTTTTAAAGGGTAAAACAATTGGATTTTTTAATTTTCTTTTACTTTTTAAGTGAAATTAGCTCGATGTGTACATAGATAAAGTCAAGGGTGTTCGCAGTGCCATTTTTGTGCAATTCTAGGATTGCTAGATTTGGTGCGCTGTTAAATCGGAGCGCTTGCTAGATTTGGCGCTTTTGCGCATACATTTTCGCTGAAATATTTTTACGGTCCTCGAAACCGAATAGTACCGACGAATTTTATATGCATTAAAACTTCTGAGAAGGTATGTAGAATATTCTTAGAATTTATATGCATCTATTATGAGGCTTAAATCTTTACTTAGAAAGTGATATTTTTAGTTAATTTATATAATGTAAATATAATTAGAAAAGTTGTCAAGTTTTTTAAATATGCATTAAGAAAAACTATAATGTTTTTATGTATGTAACGGTCATACTTGTAATATGTTAGGCAAAAGATCTTTTACTGTTCATCAGATCAGTACTGAATTTGTTTGGACGTTCTTCAACATTCAAAGAAAAGGGAAATAAAAATGCTTCTATTCATCAAGTATCCCCTACATTTTGGATCGGGTATGAAATTCGGCTGGAATCTTAAAATAAGATGAACTGCAATATTTTATTATTTAACTAATTATCGTCATTTTATTTATTAGTTTTTTCCCCCCATTTGAGGATTTAGTATCTATTTGTGTATTTTTATTTATTTTTAAATCTGTTTGTATCCTTTTCTTGGTTTTTAAATTTTATGGCCATCCACAGGTCTTCAGTCCTGATTTTAGAAATTAATTACTGACTAAGATATGCTTGAAAGAATAAAGCTACAAACAACAACAAATAGAGCATATTATTTTATATTAGAATAAGGCTAATGTGAAATAGGAATTACCGAAATGTTAAATAATAGTATCAGTTAAGAAACAGAATTTATGATACTGGATACTTAAAACATGTGTATCTATTTCTGTGCGTATTATAACATTTATGCTTTCAGACATTCACAGTTATTCATAATTTTCACAAAGTAAGAATTCTAAGACATGATTCGCAAATCAAGGTATAAATCTAGTATATATGCTTAAAATGTCATAAAGAAATTGTAGGAAAAAGTATATAAGCATAATTATGAGTTTGTTGCTTTCCATTTGTTTAGTTAATTTGAAGTACTATTTTTAATAAGTTGTTGTAGTATTAAGCTGGGTTCAGACGCCGACATAAAGAGCATAGAGGCATAGTCATAAGGGCATAAAATACGGGAGTTCCGTTCACACCTCCGAGATGGGTCTAAGCTGTGGCCAATGAGAGAAGCTAAACTTTCGCATGCGTGGATGTGTCTACACCTATTGCAGGCTGTTTTCTAGCTCCATTGATTTCCCGTGCCCGCTCTGCTTGTTTTTGTTATTTTGTGTTGTGGCTTTTTCAGCTCACCACAAAGTTTTACTGGTTCAACAGAATGCACTTTTATCTGCCCTTCTTATAAAGCCAAGGGCAATGGAGAAGGTAAAAAGAACGAAAGTGTCGAGATAATTTTTTTGGAAAAGGCCAATACTTGGTTGTACATTTTCTGTTGCAAAGCAATAGAATATTTTGCATTGTACTGTAGTACTCTCTATTCTGTAACATGCACAGCATATTTATATATAAAACCTCTTCAATTTTTAATGTATTTCTCTTAGGAGAACGATATCTAATATACCTAATAAAAAAAAAATTGAGGATAAGGTGAAAGATCCTGTATATAATAATTTTTCCATTTTGAAGGGTGAAGCAGTTAAGCAGAAACAGTACTTACCATACATTATTTTTTTTTTTTTTTTTTTTTTTTTTTTTTTTTTTTTTTTTTTAATTTTCAAAAACGTATGTTTACATCATATGAGTATTTAAATTAAACTCTGCTCTGCTGTGAGTTAGATGTGAAGTTCATCCACGTCTGTGTGTCAGAAGTAAATTTTTTTAATGTTTTTCTTTGTGACAGATTTATGACAATCTTCACTTAGTGGCAGACATGTATATTAAAGCACCAAAAGAGTTTAAATTTCAAATATTTTGTTCATTTCTATTTACGACCAATATCTGAAAAGTAAGAAATAGAAGAAATAGATTGAAGCAATAGCAATACAATTTGCTTTTTCAAAATTTTATTCTTAAATACACAAATAATTAATAGAAGAAATGATAGTATAATTTATACCAAAATACTAAATAAGAAAAGAATATAATTTGCACAAAGATACAAAATTGCAAGCATGATTTTTAAAGAATTTTCATAATAAAATGGAATAAGGAAGGGGACATTCACTACAGAACTACACAGCGTGCATGATCCTGAGCTTAACTTTTGCTTTACAAGTTTCATCCATATTTTTCAATTCATCGTGAAAAACTGATTAAAAAATGCATGTCATCATCGTAGATTTCTTGCGAGATCAACTCATTATTTCGTTCAGATACAATTAAAACTCATTCAGATATGATATGCTGCATATTAAAAATAATGCCGTCTTCGATGTGACAGCAAAATCATCTAAAGAAAGCCGCTTCGTTTTAGCTTCGCTCTGGTTGGTCGACTCTTATCTCAAACTCGGCGTTAAGTTGAAAACCTGGAACCTTGTGCCACGAGCCTTGAACCAGATTATGTGACGTAGCACAGACTGGTTGCCTTGACAATGCAGCTCGGCTTTAACCACTTATGCCCCCGTCTGAACACAGCCTTAAAGGCCGTTCACACTGGGGTTTATCTGAGCTTACGGAGACAACTGCCATAGCTGACCCTTCTAAACCAGTTTTACCCAATAGAGCAGCAAGTTGAAAAATCTGAACTAGACTCATAACAGAGCTAGTTGACACTTGGAACTGACTCCATTAGCTCAGATAAACCCCAGTGTGAAATGACCCTTTATAGAGAGTGTTAAATTTCTTTGGAGCAGGAAACATGGAAATTCAGCTTTGTTCTGTTGGGAATAGTATTGTAGATTGTCCACTTGCTAGCTGTATGTGCTAACCACATCACAAAGACATATTGAATATGAAGATTAAACCAATCTTTAAAAAACAAATAATATAAATTTTTTATATTATTTATTTTTTATTTTTTATTCATGAAGGAGGACGTGAAACAAGGATATAAATTTCCTGTTATTTGATATTAACTGTGCTAAGCTATAGCTAGAAAATTTTACAGAATTTCAGAGTAGTCCAGAAATTTTCAGAATATCTGAATGAACCCAGTGCATGCTATTCTAGTGCTTTTTAAAATTTAGCCTAGGACATTCATTTTTCAAGCACACCGAAAAAAATTAAGAAAAGTTTGTTCTAAGATCTAAACAGGGTTTTTCTTTCAGATTGATGTTTCTCTGACTAATGGTTTAAGTGTTATGTACGTTGACAAACAGATTGTGTATCTATTTGTTAATTTCTAGTTACTGTCTGGGCAAAGTTGGATTAACAGAGCTAATATCTTTATACAGTACAAAGTCCACAATCTGGACTCGTCGGGACTTCGGCGATTCCGGATTAGGGTTTTTTCCAGATTATAGATCATCAATTTAAATCTAGTAAGATGCATGCAAATTTAGACATTTAAAATTGAAACCATAATTTATGAAATAAAGCAATTATGATCTAAAGGTATCGAAATTTACAAAAAAAAAAAAAAAAAAAAAAACTTAAATTATTTGTTACTTTAGTAAACATTCGATCAATGTAAGTGTTTAGTTCTTAATTTTTTTGTACTATACTTCTCTTTATTCTATAAACAGAATAATTGCTGAGTTGTTTAAGTTGTTCGTTTTTGTGCTAATACTTTCTGTTATTCTATAAACGCATCATTCGTTTTTCAAATTCAATTTCATCCTGTTCATTGCATGTTGTGTCGAGAATACCGACTAACTTGTGAATTGAAATTTTTTTGTT